TCCTCCATGTACTCAGGATGAAAAGCGATGCTTACTGTTTGCACTGTTGTAAAATAGGTTTCATTAGCGCATAATCATTGTCTGCAAAGTGTTTGGTGCATGGGAGGTTATAGCTAATTTTATGAAATAAAGTCTAATCCTCTCTTTTTAATTAACTTAACTCTCACTGGCATCTGTAGTATCATTCCAAGCTTGGGAACACAAAGAAATGAGTCTGGTGCATGGAATTTTTTAAAAAGATTTATTTATTTATTGCAAATTATTCAGATTGCCTTTTAATGAACCCAACATTCCCAACATTAAAAAATTGTTGAACCAAAAGATGTTTTCAAACAACTTAATTATCTGAATAGATATTAAATATAAGGAATCGAGTCCAATTTGAAATGAATTTTACATAGCACACAAATATCACAACCTCCCAGAGCACAATATAAAATAGTCCTCTAAGGAATATAAACATTTAGTATGTAAGGATGTGAAATTACATGGTAAGAAACAAATCTTTAGTTAGCTAAAATTTACTTGCTAAAGATTAGTTCTTGCACAATTTATCAGTTTGTCCTAAGAATAAAACCAAACTAATATTCTCAACCTCTAAATTCAGTACATAGCAAACTCATTTTCCCAAACTACAGTTTTGCAGCATTATACTACAAGTAAACTCTTCACTATTGAGTTAGGATGGGAAAAACTTTATGATCTATAAAACGAATTCCTTAAATTTCATGAGACCATTTCACAAATCCTAGAAGGCACACATTATATCTCCTATCATAGTAACTGCATTTAAATACTGAAGATTTTAAGAATACAAAGTGCACATTTCATCCATGAAACAAATTTACAGCTTTTACTATTAGTTATTACAGTAGAACCTGCCTAACATTCACATCTAAGAATTACCACCCAGTTTAATGGCGTGAGCAGGGAACTGTGCTCATTTCTTTGATAAGGCTAATAAAAACACTTTGTATTTCACAGTAGATCAGTTAGTGTCTTGGATTTCATATTGCAAAGTGAAAAAGGCTGGGCAAGATCAAGTCCCTGGGCTTGCTGACAACAATTCCTTGACAGATGAACGATTCTGAGGGATAAAATCCTTTGCTGTCTCTGGGAAGATCCAAAAACCTGTAAAGCAACTTTGTGCATTTTAGGAGAATTTTCAAGTTAGGCAACCTGAATTAAACACAGCAGGTCTATTTCCAAATGATAACTGAAGATCCTAGAGCTAGAAAAGATCTCAGAGGATCCTCTCTTCCAACGTTTCCAAATTACCTTCCATGGAATATCAAGAATCTGTGGAGGAGATCCAGGGTTCTGTAAATTTGACCTGAATTTAAAAAAAAAAAGGGCAACATTTTTTGAAAAAGAAAAAAAATTAAAACAATTCCCATCATACAAACTTGTTACTCATCAAATTCTTATACTTGTTACAACATTTTACTTATGTTACAACATTTTATTCTATGTTTTCATTGGCTGACTTAATATTTAGTTATTACAGTATATACAATTGAAATGAGAAAAGCTGGACTAATGAAATATTTTATATATGGTGTGTGTATATACATGTGTATATAAGGATTCTCTGTGAGATTTTTTACCTGAGCCGGGGGAAGCTCCAGTGTTGAAATGTTGGGAAAACCACAGATGACGTCTCAGTTCATAAAGCAGGAACTTACAAATATGAGAAACTTTTTCAAGATCACTCAACCAACAAGTGCACTGCTAGGTTGGTATGACATCAATATCCACAGCGAGTACTTACCCATCTGGTGCTTAGCGGTCCTCATCATGAATGTTATGGGTTAATCTTTACTATTTTGGGAGCAAAATTGAGCTACCTTTATGCAGATATTTTTCTTTGAAATGGGTTTTATTTGCACACCTATTAAAATTCTAGCATTTAAAACTGTCATTAATAAGCAGCAGTGATTTAAACTGTATCCCTGGGTACTTAGGAAAATAATATTTGCAAGTTACCAATAGGAGGTCAGGAAAGTTACATGGAAAGTTAAAAGGATATGCCCGGCTCCACCGTACTCGTCCCGTTCACACAACAGGGCAAAAACCACCACCACCACCACCTTTTGAAGAAAAAACAGGTAGTTCCAAAACACACTGCTGGAGCCATGAATCAACTGTGGATAGATCATTAAAAAAAATGAGTAAAATAATAATTAACCACAAGGGGGCATACATACTCTTAGAGTCCAGCAGAAAGAAAATTTTAAGTAACATGTCCTTTGATGTGGTCCATTTTCTTATTTAACATTTTCTCATAAAAATTTTAATTCCAAGGTTTATTTTAAACCTAAAGATTCCAGAATACTGTTGTCCTGAAAAACAGTAGTGTGTTCAAAGCCTCTGGAAACATTGCTGTTACCTGCCAGCAGAGGACTCAAGAGCAATTCGTTCTAATACCCTTTAGAACAAATAAATAGGGAAATAGGGTCTAAAACAGTAGCAAATTTTAGCTTGAATAATGGAAGACATGGAACGTTTATAAACAAACATGGGACATATTGTGAGAATAGCAAAAATAAGGTGGGGAAGTGTATTTCGCTGTATCTGTGCCACAACATTCTTCCTCATGACCAAAGCATGGGTAGCCCACAAGGGCAGCGGCAGATCTCCTCCCCAGGCCATGGCCCATGGCCGATGGCCGATGGGGCTGGTCGGCCTCATCAGCCATGTTTAGTACGTCATCTTTAGTAGGCGCGTCTGACGCTACCCAAGACTCATTTGCTCCAGTCATCTGCAGGCGACAAATAGGGCAATTCCTGTGTCCGTCTCTCCATTTATCTATACACTTCTGACAAAAGCTGTGAGCACAAGGCAGGATGAGGTCAGCCCGCCCATCCATGCAGATATAACACAGCCTCCTCATCGGTCAGCTGTTTCGCCCTTCCCATCCAAAGACTGGCCTGACAAGGCGTGACAGAGCATGCGTTTTCCTCAGGTTCTTCAGAAGTGGTGCTTTGGGCCAAAGCACCTGCTGCATGACTTGTGATGCCTTTATAAAGCTGAAGGAACTGGTACAAATTCATGATGCGTGATGCTTCCACAATGCCACTCCTCTTGTTAATCTTGGTACACACTACCCGTCAACCACTTTCCAAAAGGCAGAGGAATCAGATCCAGGTTGTACCTCAAAGAGAAGATGTTTCTCCTGGCCAGAAGCCACTTTAGCAGTTACACCAAGTTCAGCTACTCTCTCAAGAAATTCTTTATATGTTAAGGAGCCACTTTCTCGAACCAATGTGACGTGTTTTGCTACTTTTTCTGGTAACTTGCTAATAACCAGTTGGGTCTGATCTGAAATTTGCTGTCCCATGATGAAATGACGTCATTCAGATCCAGAAAGTATTGTTTCACATAGTTTTTCTAGTTCAAGGCATTGCGCTCCCCGGTGGCACCAGCTGCTCAGAGCAGCAGGTGCCGGCCTTAAAGATTTATTTATTTATTTAAAAGGCAGAGTCACAGAAAGGCAGAGGCAGAGAGTGAGAGGTCCTCCATCCGCTGGTTCAATCCCCAGATGGCTGCAACGGCTGGAGCTTCACTGATCCAAAACCAGGAGCCAAGAGCTTCTTCTGGGTCTCCCACACAGATGCAGGGGCCCAAGGACCTGGCCACCCTCTACTGCTTTCCTAGGCCATAGCAGAGAGCTGGATCAGAAGTGGAACAGCAGAGACTCTGAACCAGTGCCCACACAGGACGCTGGCACTGCAGGCAGCAGCTTTACCCGCTATGCCACAGCGCTGGCCCCTGGTGCATGGATTTTAATGTTTTTCCAACAACTGTGGAGATCTGAGGGAATGTGTGAGAATGTAAAATACTTAGTTTACTTGGTAGTCTCTTGTGCAAATTACAATAAACAAAGTAAATGAAATTTAAACAAAAATAAATTTGGTCACAAAATGCCAAAAAAAAAAAAGAGTTATAGGCTTAACTGAGTTGTTTATTAGCAAGCAAGAAGTGCTGCTGAGAACTTTCTATGGTATCATTACTATTTGGCTTCTCAAAAAGTTCATGGAAAATGGAATTAAAAGTTATTTTTCTATGGGGTCAGCCTTGTGGTATAGTGAGTAAAAGTAGTCACCTGCAGTGCTGGCATCCCATATGGGTGCTGGTTAATGTCTTGGTTGCTCCTGTTCCAATCCAGATCCCAGTTAACAGCTTGGGAAAGCAGCAGAGGATGGCCCAAGTGCTTGCACCCACATGGGAAACCCGGATGAGGTGCCTGGCTCCTGGGTTTAGCCTGGCCCTGCCTTAGCCATTGTGGATACCTGGAGAGCGAACCAGTGGATGGAAGTTTCTCTTTCTCTCATCTCCCTCTCTCTTTCAAGTAAATAAATAAATCTTCCAAAAAAGGTTATTTATTCTAGTACAAGAAAATTTTGAAATCTACCCTTCCACCCCCTTTTTCTCTTCATTTATTTGAAAGGCACAGTTACAGAGAGAGGTCTTCTATCCACTAGTTCACTCCCAAATGGTCACAACTCCAGTGCTGGGCCAGGCATAAGTGAGAAGTCAGGAGCTTCATCCGGGTCTCCCACGTGGGTGCCGAGACCCAAGCACTTGAGCCGTCTTCTGCTGTTTTCCCAAGCGTCAGCAGGGAGCTGGATCTAAAGTGGAGCAGCCGGGACTCGAACCAGCATCCTTGTTGCAGGCAGGTTTTATCTGCTCCGCCATAACGCCAGCCCCGTTTTTTTTTTTTTTTTTCTTCATAACACTTATTTTCCATTAACGTTTTGAAGACCCTGTTTATTACTCGGCGCTTATTTAACTGCTTGAAACGGGTTAATGATTTCTGCTTTCAATTTATAGTGTTGAGGACTTTTTGAAATAATGGACGTGAAAGCACTTTGAAAAGAACGTTATTAGTGAAAAAGAGAAAAAGCCCATGATAAATACTGTTTGGAGGCTCTCGTTCGTTCCTCGTGCCTTTCTTGAGCACGTTTCGCAACGCAGGGCTTCCGGTGCTGCCCAGCCCGGCCAGTGTGGCGTGGAGCAGGGAGCAGGTGCGCAGAGGCCGGGAGCGGCCCACCTGCGACCCGCCCCTGGGCCCCGCTGTGCAGCGCGCGCTGGCCGCGGCCTGCGGAACCTGTGCCGGGCCGAAGCGGCGCAAGCCCGCCGACCCCAGGGCGCGAGTCCGCTCCGGCGCCGGCCGCTGCTCCGCCTCGGCTGCCCACAACCCACGGTCCTTTCCGCCGTCCCAGCGACCTCCCCTCGCCTCTCTCCCGCTCCTTCCAGCGCCCTCCAGTCCCCGGCGCCCGGCAGCGTCTAGAAGGCATCTGAGGATGGCGCGCAGGACCGCGGAGCTGACGACGATGCGGCCGACTGTACGTTTTTGCCTTTATTTAGCTCTGAGTCTGGAGCCCCCGTGGCGCTTCCCCTCCGCGGAAGACACAGGGGGTGAGCCCGCCGGGCCTGGCTGCGGTCCGCGTTCCGGAACGCGGGCGCCGGGCGCGGCAGTTTCCAGGGGCGATGGGGGCGCGCCCCGCGCAGGCCGCGGAAGCGGAAAGCGTGCGAGCGTTTGGCCTGGACATCCTGACGGCCCCGAGAGCCGCGCCGGCCGGGGGTCCCTAGGAGGACTGGCCCGGCTCGGCCCGGCTTGCCCCTCGGGAACATTAGCCGAGCGGCCGGAAAGCAAGGTACGCGAGCCCGCTGTGCGCCTGTCGTAACATTTCAGCTTCCCATGGTGAATTTGCTGCTAGCACTGCAAAATGGAAGCTCCCTTTTCTTTTGGGGTTGCAAAGTAACGCACAGCGTCCTGGAAATGAGTTGGTTGTTTGCTGGAAAACTCTGTTACTTTTAAAGCCCCTGGATTAAATTCTAAGGGCCTCACTCCCTGGTTGACTCCTGTAGACTGAAAAATGATCTGTGTTATCGTTTAAAAAGGCCAATTAGGATGGAAAATGTGATGTGTGTATAGCCCTTGATAAGACTGGTAATAATACTTAAGATAGTGAACAAGTAAGAAAACTTAAGGTCAGTGCAAAGGAAGTAGTAATTTTTTATGTCATTTTTGAGGGGGAAGGTTAAATATTTAATGATAGCTTTGAAGTTTAAAATCATTCAGTGGGTAGAATATTTTGCTCACTTGTGGACTGCAGCTGTTATTCTCACGTGTTGGACAGCACAGGACCATGCTTTATATAGAAGGCTACTTCAGCAACTTTGTAGAAAATGAAAGTTTATTTTGGTGCAAAAATAATTGAAATCCATGTACGTAAAGAGTATTCAAAACGTTTGTGGAAAATGCGTATGATTGAAAAGGCATGGATTAAAAATTTTTTACACCAAATATCTTTTAATTCTGTTTCTATGAACTTTCTGAAAGTACTTTCATATAAGTATCTTGTAATGTAAAAGATATTCTTGAGCAATAATGTTATTTTTCCTTAGCTTCTTAGCTTCTCTGAAGGTCGGTCAGGGGACACTGTTCAGGGCTTTACTGGGTGAAAGGTCATTCTGCCTCACAATACATTTTTTTGTTTTATTGCAGATCAACATGCTCTGATTTGGGGGAGTAGAAGCCAACTTAAATCCTTCATACCAGCTTCATCCCTCCAGTGGCATTCTTTAAAAGGTGAGAGGACTCCATGATTCTCCTGCAAGCCAAGGCTCCCAAAACTTGAAAACAGCGTGGCTCAGTGGGTTGTTGGCAGCATCTCATGTGAGTGCTGCTCCGCTTCGGATCCAGCTCCCTGCTAATATGCCTGGGAATGCACCCATGTGGGAGACCCAGATGGAGTTCCAGGCTTTTGCGGCCGTTTGGGGTGTGAACCAGCATGAGGATGGACAAAAAGTCTCTACCTCTGTAACTCTGTCTTTCAAATAAATAAATCTTAAAAAAAAATTCAGATTAGTGGATTTAGATCCCAAAAGGAAGTCGCTGCTATAGGACACTTAGCTGTTCAGGGTGTGTGTGTGTGTGTGTGTGTGTGTGAGTGTGAGTGTGTGTGTCTTTTTTTCTTTTGAGTGACTTGCCTGAGATTACAGAGCTGGGAAGTAGTGGAGCCAGGATAGGCTTCCCAGCTGCCTGGATCCCAGGGTCTAGGAGAGAACCCAGGCACTGCCTTGCTTCCTTTGAATTTCTTTTGAAAGAAAGCTGACTCCTTCCAAGAGGCTTCAGGGGAGCCTCACTACTTGCCTCTAACCAGCCAGTGGCCCGAGCTTTTCCTTTGTAGGTTATATTCGTGGATGAGTAAGTGAATGTGCTCTGTGCACCTGTTTGCCAATCTTTGTAAACTTCCATCTGGCCCTTTTATAAAAGGTCAACAGGAGACACTGATGTGTTTTTTCTTCCTGTTCCAATGACTGAGGTTTTTTTTTTTTTTTTTCCTAAGTAGTTACCCCTTTGGTCTTTCTTTCCTTCTTTCCTTCCTTCCTCCCTCCCCCTCCCCTTCCTTCCCTTCCCTCCCCTCCCCTCCCCTCCCTCCCCTCCCCTTCCCTTCCTCCCTTCCTTCCTTCTTTCCTTCCTTTCCATTTAATTATTTATTTGAAAGGCAAAGTTACAGAGAGAAAGGAGAGACAGAGAGAGATCACTCCCCAAATGGCTGCAACAGCCGGAGCTGGGCTGATCCACAGCCAGAAGTCAGGAACTTCTTCTGGGTCTCCCATGTGGGTGCAGGGGCCCAAGCACTTGGGCCAAGTTCTGCTGCTTTACCAGGCTACTAGCAGGGAGCTGAATCTGAAGTGAAGCAGCCAGGAATCAGACCAGTGCTGCAAGTGGTGGCTTAACCACTAAGCCACAATGCTGACCCCTAACTAAGGATTCTTAAACACAGGTAGGTATTATTAGAAGAAAAGAGTGAGAATATGTATGTTTGTAATCCTAAAATGTTGACAGAACCAGGCTCATTCTGAAATATTAAGACAATAGACATTTTATTTTTTTAAGATTATTTGAGGGGCACTGTGGCGTAGTGAGTAAAACTGCTACCTGCAGTGCCAGCATCCTATGTGGACACTGGTTTGAGTCTTGGCTGCTCCACTTCTGATCCAGCTCTCTGCTATGGCCTGGGAAAGCTATAGAAGATGGCCCAGGTCTTGGGCCCCTGAACCCACGTGGGAGACCCGGAGGAAGCGCCTGGCTCTTGGCTTCGGCCTGGCCCAGACCTGGTTATTGCAACCATCTGGGGAGTGACCAGCAGATGGAAGATCTCTGTTTCTGCCTCTCTCTGTAACTCTGCCTTTCAAATAAATAAAAATAAATTAAAAAGGTTATTTATTTGAAAGGTGGAGTTACTAGAAAGAGCGAGAGAGAGAGAGATCTTCCATCCACTGGTTCACTCCCCTGATGGCCACAAGATCCTGGGCTAGGCCAGGCCAAAGCCAGGAACTTGGAGCACCATCCAGGTCCTTCATGTGGATGGCAGGGTCCAAGCACTTGGGCCATCTGCTGCTGCTTTCCCAGGCACATCAGCGGGGAGCTAGATTGGAAGTGGAGCAGCCAGCACTTGAACCAGCACTCACATGGGATGCCATTATTGCAGGTAGCAATTTAACCCACAACACCAGCCCCAACAGACACTTATTGAGCATCTACTGTATACAGGTCCCTTGGTGGGCACAGGGGATATAAATAGGCAAGTTCCTGTCTTAAGTGGGCTGATAGCTTGGAGTGAGGAAAAGTACATTTTATATCCTGACCACTACACCCAGATATATGCATGTATATGGAAGTAGAAATAAAAGTTTCATCAGAGTAACTTTGTACACCTTCCCTTGTACAGTATGGGCTAATATTTTCTATTGTGGTTTATTCTATTTGATTTTTAAAAATTCTGGTCACAAACCACCAAACTTATTTCATAACCCAATACTCTCTTCTAGCTTTTTTTTAAGATTTAAGATTTAAAAAAAATATTATAGACACAGTGACAGTGAGAGGGAAAGACAGACAGAAAGAGATTTTCCATCTGCTGGTTCACTCCCCAAATGGCTGCAATGGCCAGGAGCCAGGAACAGCATCTGGGTCTCCCGCGTGGGAAGCAGGGGCCCAAGTACTTCTGCTACCTTCCCAAGCGTATTAGCAGGGAGCTGGATAGGAAGAGGAGTAACCAGGACTCAAACTTGTGCCCCCAGATGGGATGCCAGTCACTTAATCTGCTGTGCCACAACACCAGCCCCTTCTCTAGCTTTTTCTGAAAAATTCTGGGATAATAGATGTTAATAAACTGGTGCTTTTTTTTACGTTTTTTGGTGAGAGTCATTTTGGTTTTAGGAATAAGAATATGGTAGAAATCAAAATACCACAGTTTAGCACTTCAGTTCTTGAAAGAGCCTTTGAGGGTCTTTAGTGCGTCATCTGGCTTCCTTCCTCACACACATGTCCAGAGGTTGTATGTCTACCTCTTTATCTTTGTGCCCCTGAACTGAATGGGGTAATTCGTGAAAATAGAATTAAGAGCTAAGTGTATTTGAAATCCTGTATAAAGGGCCTTCACAAAGTCAACGAAAAATGTATACTGTGAAAAAATTAATGAGTTTCAAATTTTTTGTACCAAAATAAACTTAGTTTTTAATTCCATTTTCTACAGACATTCATTTATTTATATTTATTTGAAAGGCAGAGGGACACACAGGGCTGAAGCTGGAAGCCCAGAACTTCATCCTGGTCTTCCACATGGATGGCAGGGGCTCAGACGTTTGCACAGTCTTCTGCTGCTTCCCAGGAAGCAGGATCAGAAGCAGAGGTCAGACTTGAACCCAGGCACTCAGATATGGGATGTGAGCTTCTAAGTGGCAACTTAGCTCACTGCACCACAATGCCTGCCCCTCTATGGACATTTAAAAAAGAATTTTTATTTAATTTTAAAGAGGCAGAGAGCTAGGCCAACAATTTTAACCCACCACAGCCTGAATAAGTGAATGCTATGCCCCCCTCCAAGTCTGGCCCTTACAGGTGAAAAGAGAGAACACGTCTCTTCTTTCTAAGACTAAGTAAATAGGGGCTGGGCCTTGACCAGCAGTGTGAGGTGCCTCACCCAGGCCCAGTGCTTCCATTGCTTCCCACTTAGTAAGTACAAGGGATAAGTGAGTTTCTCCATCCTGTGTCACTGGACTGTAAACCTAAGAAACAGCAGGTTTGGATACAGACCAGGTTCTGTGTTGTGTCTTTCCTGTGATCAAATGATGAATACTTCTGTCCATGTTAGCAGCTTTCCTTTGCATTAACATATTTGAGTTTAAAAATTAAAATTACTTAAACTGTTTTCATTTCTCAAGTTTGATTTGTGAGTTTTTTTCCCTTTTTTTTTAAAACTTTTATTTAATGAATATAAATTTCCAAAGTACAGCTTATGGATTACAGTGGCTTCCCCCCCATAACGTCCCTCCCACCCGCCACCCTCCCCTTTCCCACTCCCTCTCCCCTTCCATTCACATCAAGATTCATTTTCAATTCTCTCTCTGTATAGATCAGTTTAGCATATATTAAATAAAGGTTTCAACAGTTTGCACCCACATAGAAACACAAAGTGAAAAATACTGTTTGAGTACTAGTTGTAGCATTAAATCACAATGTACAGCACATTAAGGACAGAGATCCTACATGAGGAGTAAGTGCACAGTGACTCCTGTTGTTGACTTAACAAATTGACACTCTTGTTTATGGCATCAATAATCACCCTAGGCTCTTGTCATGAGCTGCCAAGGCTATGGAAGCCTTTTGAGTTCACCGACTCTGATCATATTTAAACAAGGTCGTAGTCAAAGTGGAAGTTCTCTCCTCCCTTCAGAAAAAGGTACCTCCTTCTTTGCTGACCCGTTCTTTCCACTGGGATCTCACTCACAGAGATCTTTCATTTAGGTCATTTTCTTTTGCCAGTGTCTTGGCTTTCCATGTGTGAAATACTCTCATGGGCTTTTCAGCCGGATCCACATGCCTTTAGGGCTGATTCTGAGGCCAGAGTGCTGTTTAGGACATCTGCCAATCTGAGTCTGCTGTGTATCTCGCTTCCCATGTTGGATTGTTCTCTCCCTTTTTTATTCTATCAGTTAGTATTTGCAGACACTAGTCTTGTTTGTGTGATCCCCTTGACTCTTAGACCTATTAGTGTGATCAATTGTGAACAGAAATTGATCACTTGGACTTGTGAGATGGCATTGATACATGCCACCTTGATGGGATTGAATTGGAATCCCCTGGTGTGTTTCTAACTCTACTGTTTGGAGCAAGTCAGCTTGAGCATGTCCCAAATTGTACATCTCTTCCCTTTCTTATTCCCACTCTTATATTTAACAGTGATCACTTTTCAGTTAAGTTTCAACACTTAAGAATAACTGTGTATTGAATACAGAATTCAACCAAAAGTATTAAATAGAACAAACAAACAAAAAATACTAAGAGGGATAACAATTTAAGTTGTTCATCAACAATCAGGGCAAGGGCTGATCAAGTCACCGTTTCTCATAGTGTTCATTTCACTTTAACAGGTTTCCTTTTTGGTGCTCAGTTAGTTGTCACCGATCAGGGAGAACATATGATATTTGTCCCTTTGGGACTGGCTTATTTCACTCAGCATAATGTTTTCCAGATTCCTCCATCTTGTTGCAAATAACCAGGTTTCATTGTTTTTGACT